TTGAAATTGTATTATGTATTTATAATATCAAATATTTTATGTTTTTATTTATATTTGAAGATGTATTAGTTTGACAATTTGGATGTCATGTATTTCCAATATATAAAAAAAAAAAAAAAAGTTGAAAATTGCTCCAAAGAAATATGTTGATTCAAGTTAGACAATTTGTGTATACATATACACAAACATCAAATTTAACGTCAGATTTATAAAAAAAAAAAACAAATCAAAACTATGTCTATGTTCGATAAACAAGAAACAAAAGAAAAAGAAAAAAAAATTGAAAGAAAGATGCATCATATATTCATATGTATGACGTGTTCAGAAAAGAAAAATAACCGGTTTGTGCTACACTAACCCAGCCCATGGTTTAATATAGAAAAGCCCAAGTTTTAATCCACATGGATGGAGCCCAAAAGGCTACGAGGCTAGTAGGCTACAGACTTTACTAGAATATTCTTCATCGTCTTCACTCCCTCCCTCATCGTCCTCTTCTATCCATTTTCCCCAAATTTCCTTTTCTCACTCACTCATGGATTGTGCTTCAACTCTCTCCATCTGCTCTCATCCAAAACCAACCGCAAACAGCAGTTTCTCAACAGTTGGCTATGTGCTGCTTCGCAGGCGGCTGTTTTTTTCTCCGTCGTTGCAGTATGTGAGCTCAGGGCGGCGACGTTTGAAATTCCAAACATTTGCAATAAAAAATGCTTCGGCTTCGTCTGGGCGGTCGGGAAGAGCTAGGAAGGTTTATACGGAGTCGCAATCCGAAGCAGCCCCTTCAACCTCCTTTCCGGTGAAGGAGATTGCTTCTTCTGTGTTGCCAGTCGGTTCCTTCATTGTCGTCACTTTTGGTATTGCTTTTAATTGCTACATATTTCTGTGACGTTTTCTTGTTTATATCGTTTTTGAATGCACTACATCCATTTCATACGAGAGTAGATTGATTGCGCATTCGAACACAATTAAGTTTAACTATACCAATGAAACAAAAGCAGGATCTGTGTAACTTCTCAATGGATCACTAATTTATGTGTTCAGCTGACAGTTATGTGGAAATTAGTGGAGAAACTGATGATGCCTAAGAAATCAAAAGCTCCTGTACAAGACAAAAAACCGACTGAAGGAGTGAAATGGTCCTTTGCTGCTGGGACAAACTTATTACCTAATTTTGGTGCAAAGATCGAAAGGGAATCCAAACTTCGACTCAATGATTTCTCCAAAGAACTTAGGTCATTCAGCATTGTTGACATGTCAGGTACTAACAAAATAACACCATATAAGATGCAATGAGTGAAGCTATTCTCCGTACATTTTCTTATACACTCCTTGTAAACCGCCACTCTTCAAATCATGTATCTTTTGCAGGTCGCAACTTTGGAGATGAAGGATTATTCTTCCTTGCAGAGAGCTTGGCTTATAACCAGGTTTGATTATTCTAATGATAATGTTTACTTTTATCCTGCATAATTTTATCTCATAGCTTCTTATACAATGATATTTTATGATGAGTGCAATTCATTAGCATCTGTGTAGCTTGTGAAAGGGTTGTGAGTTGTAATGAATTTTTTCAACACAATTCTTTAATGTTAAGATTTATATGATCATTGGGTGAACTATGGAAGCAAATCATCATCCAACACCTGTCATATTGAATCAAAGTATATGTATGGCTGTTTTTAGGGACTTGTATTCTGACAACTAGCTGCATATGAATTGTAGACTGTTGACACATATTAGCCCCATGTTAGTTGCAGCATTTGGTTTTATAGGCAAATTTCAAAGTTAAAATTACATATGTGCCCTATATTTTTGACATTTGACTAAGGTGATGTACCTTTTCACTCAATGGACTAAAGGGACAAGACTTAGTTAGATAGGCTATCTTTTTGACTTAATCCAGATTGAATTACCTGAATAGAAACTCAAGTAAATGAGACTTTCCCCATTAAGTCATGACTTTTTATCATTGGTTTTTCCTTTTCCAGGTTGCTGAAGAAGTAAATTTTGCTGCTAATGGAATAACTGCAGAAGGAATTAAAGCTTTTGATGGTATTTTACAATCAAACATTTCTCTAAAGGTTCTTAACTTATCAGGAAACAGTATTGGGGATGAAGGAGCTAAGGTGGACTAATTCTTGCATTTTAATTTGTAACAATTGTTTAATATTTCATGTTTTGGATGTTTATAAGTGCTTTTATATGCAGGTTTTATGTGATATACTGGTGGATAATAGTGGTGTTCAGAAGCTCCAGCTAAATAGTACTAATATAGGTGATGAGGTTAGCTTTTTATTTATTTTTTGTTATTAATTTTTTTAAAATTTTTTTCAACATGTTAATTGTTGTGTGAAAGACTCTGATGTATTTCCATGTTGCAGGGAGCAAAGGCCATTGCTGAGATGCTAAAGAAGAACTCAACCTTGAGGACACTTGAACTCAACAACAATTTGATTGATTATTCTGTAATTTTTTTTTTTTCTTTTTCATCTTATTTAAATTTTTTTTTTTAATAACATACTTCTTACTTTTTAATCGGCATTGATGACAGGGATTCTCAGGTCTTGCTGAAGCACTTCTTGAAAACAAATCACTGAATAGTTTATATCTAAAGTGAGTCATCTAATCATCTTATAAATACATTTTATACCTTTTTTGGAAATTTATAATGCACGAAAATACTAATTATTTTTGTAATTATCATAGTGGAAATTATGGTGGTGCATTAGGCGCTTCTGCCCTTGCTAAAGGGCTCGAGGGTAACAAAGCTTTAAGGGTACTCATGTCATTTCCTTTTCCTTTTTTTTTTTTCCTAACTAATACTAAAATGACGTTTTCTTAAATTCTTTTATTATATATAAAAATAAAAATGCAGGAGCTTTTTTTGCATGGGAACTCGATAGGAGATGAAGGAGTTCGTGCATTAATAACCGGATTATCTTTGCATAAAGGTTTAGTTTCTTTATTTCTTTATTTATTATTTTATTTAATATATATAATTATGTATGTTGTTAACTTAACATGTATAGTTTTATAAGCAGGAAAACTCACAGCTCTTGACATTGGAAACAATATGATAACCTCAAAAGGCGCATTTCATGTTGCTGAATATGTGAAAAAAAGTAAATCTTTATTGTGGCTTAATGTCTACATGAATGACATTAAAGACGAGGTATTCGTTATTATTTTAATATTTTCTCTTTCAAATAAATAACAATAATTAATATCTTATTATATAAAATGCATCAGGGAGCTGAGAAAATAGCCGATGCTTTGAAGGAGAACCGATCAATTACAAACATAGACCTGGTGATTAGATGGCTTAAACTCATTTTATTAAATTTAAAGTTTGTTTTATATAATTATTTGACATTAAATTTATATTTTCAGGGGGGAAATGACATACATGCTAAAGGGATCACTGCTATAGCAGAAGTTTTAAAAGATAATACTGTGATAACAGCTGTAAGAAAATCAATTTTTTATAAACTTTTCGAGTTTTTTTTTTATGGTTTAATAATAGCAAATTGAAAACAGCTTGAACTTGGGTATAATCCCATGGGCCCAGATGGAGCAAGGGCATTGTCGGAAGTTCTTAAGTTTCATGGAAATATAAAAACTCTGATGCTTGGTTGGTGTAAGGTAATTTATAAAACCTTTTTTTTTTTAATTTCGTTATCGAGTTTTAAAATCTTAAATTGACTAAATTAATTTAAAAAAATTACAGATAGGAGCAAAGGGTGCAGAGTTCATAGCGGATACTTTAAAATACAACAATACAATCACCACTTTAGATCTTCGAGCCAATGGCCTTAGTGATGAGGTTTATATTTTATATTTTATATTTTATACTTTATACTTTATATTATTAAATTTTGTATCATTTTTTTTATTATAATTAAAAAAAAGTTAATAGTGAGTGGGTCTGGGTGGTTTCAGGGTGCAAAGAGCCTGGCTCGAAGTTTGAAGGTGGTTAATGAAGCTCTTGTGTCATTGGATTTAGGGTTTAATGAAATTAGGGTATGACACGTGTTCTCTATAACATTTCTGATAAAAAAGTTTATTTTTTTTTGGGTTAATTTTGATTTGATTTTTGTTAAAAAAAGGATGAAGGGGCCTTTTCCATTTCGCAAGCGTTGAAGGCTAATGAAGACGTGAGGCTGACGTCATTAAATCTTGCTAGCAATTTTCTTACGAAGTTAGGTCAAAGTGCTTTGACCGATGCAAGAGATCATGTGTATGAGATGAATGAAAAGGAATTAAGTATTGGGTTTTAGAGATTATCATTTCATTTTATATATAATACCCAAAGGAGAAAAGTGTTAGGAGGTATTTAAACGTTTTATTATTTTTTGTTTATTATTTAATATTTATACTTGGTTGGGTAGGCATCCCGACTTCAGGGGTGTTAAGAAATTTTGTAATTTTTTTTTTTGGTGAGATTAAAACCTCCTTTTATAATTGAATTTGTATTTTTGTTGTTTTCCACTAGCCTTTTGCTAGTATTGGATTAATAAACTTCTTCCTGTTAAGAAAAAATAATAAGCTTTACGAGAATGATCGGAAATCGAAATTGACCTTTTGATAAATTTCTTTAATTGATAAACAAAAGGGTTTTTATCCTATGAATTATACCTTTTTTTTTTTTATCCACTTACAGACAAAGAAATTAGACTTGAATAAGAACAAAAAGTATTAACTCAAAGTAAATATAACAATATAACATCATCACTCATAGTTCTACGAACCCATCCATTTTCATAGAATACGTAGCCTTTCATTTCGTGGGCAGAGACAGATGGCAAGCAAGTGTTACATAGTAAAGTAAATGTATTGATGAGTAAGTTGAACGACTGTATTCTTTATGAATAAAATTAGTTTTGTTAGCAGAAGACAGCTGGCAAATAAAGACAAAAGATATACTGGGCCTGGTTCACTTCCCAAAGCCCATAACCCTCTTTTATAAGAACGAACTACCTTCATAATTTCTTTCACAACTTTCAATTCCATGCAAAAATGGCTTCCAATTCAAAGTTTCTCCTCCTACTTATCATCTCTATCTTCCTCGTTTCTCTGTCTCAGGTATTTTTCTGAACCATAACTAAATTAATAAACAGTTCCTTACATAGATCACGTTTTGGACGATTAATAATGACTTATTTTGTTTTTATATGTACAAAAAATGAAGATCATATCAACTTATCAACGCTAGAAATATATATCTTTAATATTGTATTAAGAAGAAGAAGTTCCAATACGAAAACAATTTTTATAATCTTTAATCCATTTGTTTTTTCTCATTCTTACCGAAATTATAGCTTTATATGTGTGTTTGTCACGTAATTTTTATTATGGACTTTTCAGGTTTCTTCTTCTTCTTCATCCGAGGCTGGGATAGAGGCCCAAGCCCATCAACCCCAGGTTTCTTACTCATACTCTCTTAATTTCTTATTATCATTTATTTTGTTGTACTTACACAAATAGAAATTCATGTGGTGTGACATTTTAGGTGGTTAAAGGACCAAACCGCAGGTTTTTGGGGTTTGTAGGTATTTTTGTGCATTTTTCCAAAATATTAAAGGAATTTTTGGGACTGAATATGTATAAAGAAAGGTGTTGAGGGTATTTTGTGTTAATTACGCAGACTGCGGGAGTCTATGTGCAGTAAGGTGTGGGAAGCATTCAAGGCCAAACGTGTGCACAAGGGCATGTGGCACGTGCTGTCAAAGGTGTAACTGTGTGCCACCTGGCACACATGGCAACAGAGAACAGTGTGGGAGCTGCTACACTGACATGCTGACTCATGGAAATAGGCCTAAGTGTCCGTAGTGTTTATGTATGTGTGGTGCTTTTGAGTTTTGGTCTAAAAATATGTGGCCATATTGTAATATTTAAAAGTTCTCTTCCTAATCCTATGTATGCATGTAAGAAAAAACCTAATTATAATAAAACAGTTGGTTATAATTGAAAACGTAATTTTGTCAAGGTGTCCACATGAATATGGAGAAAGATGAAACAAAATAATTGCAGGCCAGAATGCATATGAGAAATCGTACTTGCATATACCATAAAGTTCATCTGATCTTTTGGATCATTTTTGTGATCTTGTATATGTTCTCGAGACTACTGTGAGTTTGTGATCTTGTATATGTTCTTCAAACTACTTTGGGCTTATCATCTTGTTAGTTTGTATATGTTTTGTTTATATGTTTATAGTGTAGGGTCTTTTATATAAACATCATATACTAGTGGTATTATTAATATATATGAAACGCATAATTGTGTGAGGGGTGCCTGTTTTTTTTGGAGTAATTACTGAAACCGTCCTGTGATTTGTTTTTGTTGCGTTTTTCATCTCTGTGTTTTGGTAAAATGTGCATGTTTGGTCCCTAACTTTATGTATGTAAGGGACGAAAAATACAACAAAATCAAACCATAGGGACGAAAAAAGCAACAAAATCAAACCACATGGATGACCCGAGTGCAAAAAATAAGTTATGGACCAAACGTGCAATTTTGATCAAACCACAAGGACGATTTCAGTAATTTACTCTTTTTTTTTTGAGAAAAATGGTCCCCAAACTTTATTAAAGTTGTCAGTTTTGGTCCACTTTTTAATTTTATTCAGTTTTGGGTTAATTTTTAAGTCAAAAACCAGTTTTGGACCACTTATGGTTTTTGTTAAAAAAACATTTTAGGCAGAATCACCTACTAATTTATTTATAGCAATGTAATGCATCAAAAATCCTACGGGTATTGTAACAAACCAATATGATATCAAGCCCTATGTTCCACATGTGATTTTTTTTTTCCGGCAGCCTGCTGCCTCATCGGTTCTCTCCGCTTCCACCGATTGATTTTTTTTTTCTCATGCATGTCCTTCAGCCTGTCACCGTCGAAACTCGATGTGACGTCCTAAACATCATAGTAAAAACTTTCAATTTTTAAAAAAGAAATAAAAGCCATTTTCACAAAAGTCAAACACTATAAAAATAATTGTTTCACAAAACGGAATCAAATCAGAGTATAGTAACATAACATCTCTCAAAATCATGAAATCTTCAGGATAGTGTGTACAATCATGCGTTTGCTTTGCCCCAATCCTTAGAAGTACTTAAATCATTTAAATCCACAATTGTAAATCAAAGTTTAATGAGTTCCCCAAATACCCCACATAAATAGTACACATACAATGCATGCATACAAGACCTACATCACAAGAATGGACCGCCACCTGAGCCTTCAATGTAAAGCTGGACTGCCCTCCTTGGGACTACAACATGAAGCTGGATCGCCCATTGGGCTACAACATAAAGTTGGACCGCCCGAGTATCTTGGCTTTTAGTACACAGCTGGACCGCCTTAACCTAACCATATTACATGTCAACATATGCATATAAACAACAAACTACCAAACAGACACCGCAAGTATTTATGAAAAATCTACCTGCCTTCACTACTAAAAAAGTAGGTAACTTGCTACGAAAAAATACCTATAGAATTTTTCCGTAGGAATATACCTACGGAATAGTGACAGATTACCTACAAAATAAAGTTGCCCTGATTCAGCGATGAATTTCCTACAAAATAGCTACAAAAAATAATTATGTAGTTATTCGGTAGATAATTTGCTACAGAATACCTACGAAAACTAGCAAAACTGTATTATTTCAAATTTTGTAGGTAATTTACTACCGAATTCCTACGAAACAAAAAAAAGACGGGAATTTTTTTTAATTATGTAGGTAATCCGTAGTAAACATTTTTATGTCCCTCCTTTTTATTCTCTAGATTATTACTAATATCTTTTGTTTTCTTTCTATTGTTATTATATGTATAACTATAATTTATTTTTATTGTTATATTTATAATTATCGTTTCATTATTATTATTATTATATTTATTTCTAAATTTATAAACTTTATGTTTTTTTTATTAATTTAATAATAATAATAATAATAATAGTAAAATTATTATTATTATTATTATAATTATAATTATTATTATTATTATTATTAGTAGTAGTAGTAGAGTAAATTACTGAAACTATCCCTATGGTTTGGTAAAAATTACGTGTTTAGTCCCTAATTATTTTTTTGCACTCGGACCGTCCTTATGATACCATTTTGTTGGGTTTTTTCGTCTCAAACGGACATAAAAAGTGCTATATTGCCATTTATTTCTTATTTTAAATATATTCAATTTTCTATTTATTAATTACAAAAATGAATTGATGTAATTTACTTTAGAAACCACCACCACCACCACCACCACTACCACCACCACCACCCATAAAAATCAAGCAAATTTAAAACTTTTTCAAACATTCAAAAGCCATTAGTTATTACAAAATGTTTTCAAAATAGTTTACTATAAGAGTTTCCCAGAAACATAGTCATAAAATGTGAGGAGTTGTACGATCATGTATTTGCCTTCCCGCGATCATCTGAGGTACCTGAAACCAAAACTAAAACTGTAAGCCCAAAGCTTAGTGAGTTCCCCCAAAATACTGATACACTACAAATAACACATATACAAATAACAACATGTATTGGGTCCATAGCTTTACAGACAGGATTACCCTGGTCCACAGTGTGAGTACGGATTGCATTATGGGCCCACATCTGACATCTGGATCGCCTCCGAGCCCACAGTACGAGTCTGGTATGCCCCACCCGGCCCTCAGCTCGTATTTGGAATGCTCCCGAGCCCACATTATGAGTCTGGTATGCCCTACCCGGCCCTCAGCTCATATCTAGAATGCTCTCGAGTCCTCAGTATGAGTCTGGCATGCCCGACCTGTTGGGTTTTGAGCAATCTAACACTTCCTAAGTGTGCATGCAACCCTAATAAACCTTGGATCTATGTTTGTCTAAATACATGCAAAATAATAATTTTCCAAGGTTTATAACCTATCTAACATGGCATGGGGAACATTTCAACATAAAAGAGTTAGAAGAGATTACATACCTTTTGGTGTGTTGGGTTCTTAGGAGTTTGAGGGCCAAGCACCAATAGTGTGAATGCCTCAAATGGAATCACAAACACCACAAACTCTTGGAAAACTTTGAGAGAGTATATACACCTTGTATAAATCGGCCACACACATGCACACACACACTAGATCACTAGCTTTTTCTTTTAGGCCTCATTTCATGCTCCATAAGCATGCTTATATAGTATGCATGGTTAGGGTGAAACCCTAATAACCCATGTCTTTTCCTTTTCCAAGGATCCATGGGTTAAAAGCTCCATGGATCATCCATGGACTTCCACATAAGCCTAGCCCATTAACAAATGAGTATTAGCCCACACTATATAAAACAAATAGCCCATAATTTAATTAGTATTCCTTTTAATCTCTAAATTAATCCATGATTAATTTAAGACTAAAACTAATTAAATAACGTAACTTCATATTAATATATTATAACTCATAATATATTAATAAACATATGTGTATAACTCTCATAAAATTATCCATAATAGTTTGGATGAGATGCAACCCAAATGGACCATGCCGGTCGGGTCAAGTATATACCAAATAAGTTATGGACTTAGACACCTTATCCAACAGACTCCCACTTGGATAAGTCTAATAACTATATTTGCCTATAACTTCAGGAACCAACCAACAATCGTAGCTCTCGAAAACTCCCTCGAACAGTGAAGACTCTGTCGAACTATGAAGCGCCATTTTAGATAAGTGATCACATAATCCTCTGTTCTCATGATATCAGCCGGACAAATACATGGAACAACGTCGTACTTATTGTCCAGCAGTTTGTTTCCCGATTTTCGATTTGTTTGACAAAGAACTTAATCGAACACATCAATTCAGTTCTGACCGGCCGGTACATAGGTCACAACAAAATCATCGAGGGGCCCGGATATCGCTTCTATTTCTAGAAGGAACAGATAAACTTCGACTGATATGCTTGTTCTACTACTTATTGAATTGTACACAAAGGCACGTTTTATAACATCAAGTTACTGATGCGTTTACGTGCAATCAATGCACAACCAACTCATAGGTAACAACTCATATCTCTAGGTTTAAAGATTTATATGATGTTATCGTCTCACGATCACTCGAGATAAATTCCATGAAGTGATACAAGTGAGCGTGGGTTTATTCCAATACTCATAACTTATGAGTACTCATGAATGTTGCAGCAACCATTGCCATGACTAAACTCATTTAGCCATCTACAAACCCGATTCATGACAGTCTTGATTCATACCTACTTCCAACATATGAACGACTGTGGAGTGTTTAAATAACTTAGTCATTCGAAAAGAATAACCTAGCTATTTTGGAAGTCAAAACATGCAAAGTGAAACACAGTAATAATCGAATCTAATATGGTCTCAGAACCCTTTTGAATATAAATAAAACCACCTTTTATTTATCACCATATTGATTACACATTATTCGATGTTTCAAATAATCAACTTAAGACTCGAATAAAAACAACAGTCGTCTCATGCTCCTAGCATGTACACTTTGTTTTTCTAAACAATAGTTATGCCATACCCCAAGTATGCACACTATGTTTGTCTATGATCCTTACATTGTGATGTAGATCAATTGAACATGATTCCAATGATACTCATTTCACAATCCCAAATCCTTATTGTAAATGCAAGAATTCCAAATTCATGTCATTTACTGATAACTGTTAGATTCTAAACTTATATGCATTGATCCTCTTGTAATGATTATGCACGAAGTCAGAAAGACTTAACAACAACCATTACAGAGCATTCCAAAGGAGATCAACTCCTTGGGAACATCCTTTTTGCATTAAGTTTCCTAATCTTACATAGATTGAATAACTTCCATCTATGGAGACATTTCCATAGTCCCATTTGACTATCACTTCCGAACAAGAGTTACCTCTTTTCAGAAAATGTCAATATGGTCCTACCAAAATTAACACTAGACTTCCAAATG